AGCTGAAACTGGAAGTCCTCTTTGTTTTGTTTTTTGCTGAGAGAGATCTGCCGTGAGCTAACATCTGTTGGCAATCTTCCTGTTTTTTTGCTTGAGGAAGATTAGCCCTGAGCTGACATCTATGCCAGTCTTCCTCTATTTTGTATATGGGTCACCACCACAGCATGGCTCATGAGTGGTGTAGGTCCACACCCGGGATCCGAACTGTCAACGAAAATAATCCATAACCAATCTATAAATCAAAATTGGGGTGAGTTTACTATGAGCCAGATCTGAGGACCATATAGCCCGGGAGACTCCTTTCACAAAGGAATGGAGCACTCCAGAGAAGTTGGGGGGGTGTACAGAGTGGTTATATACTATCAAAGAGCATGTATCACATATGATTGGAATGTCCCCTTTACAGTAGTCATGAGATTGCCTCGCAGGTGCAGCACTTCACATAACAATTGATGAACACAGCAGATAGCAGGTCTGTGGTCTAGAGCTGGGTGGTCACAGCAGGTCAGCAGTCAATCCCTAGCCTAGGGAGAGATGCCTATGCTTAAGGAAATGCCGATGTGGGGGAAGTAACTTTATCTTTAAGGGCTTGGTTCTTGTCGTTGGGACATGGTAAATACTTAAAGCAGATATACAGTGTGTGCTCAACGACCACGTCAGACCCTTTTGGAAAAATAAGGTCAGGCCAAATTAGTTTTACACCAAATGGCTTCCTCATATACTCCAGTATATCCTATTGCTTGTCATTTATTTATCAAAACCCACGAACCCAGGCCACCAAAGCAGAGCACACAGAACTTTAACCACTACGCCACAGGGCTGTCCCCTGCCTTTGTTTTTTAAAACTCTGTGGTTAACTTTATTTTTTGTCTAGAAGCTTGTATGTATATATGTTTTTGTAAACTTACCTAAATGGTATTATGTACTGTGTCATTCTGGACATTGCTTTAAAAATCTGTATCCTTTCTTTTAACTGCTGTATAGTATTCTACCTCTTGGTCTGAAATCTCAAAGTGTTAGCCTTGATCATAGTTACACATAAATGTCAACACTGTATCTGGAAGGTGTTTCAGAAATGTTTCCTGTTCCACAGCACCCCTGCTGGTTGAGGGATCCTCTCATTTTACAGGTGGGGAAACCATAGCTCAGAGAGCTGACTCGCCATGGTCACGTGACAGTGGTATGGAGGGTGTAACATCTGACTCTGGGAGGCATGGCCTCCCAGGCCTGGCTTGAGGGCCTCCTCCCTGCTGGGTGCACAACCATCTTGCCCTCCCTCCTCTCGTTGTCTCGGGCTTGAATTCTGGTGGGACCATCACCTCCTCGTTCAATTATCATCCTGCTGGAACCCTTCTTTTCTCTATTGACCCCTGTACTTTTCCCTGAGTCCCACGTGAAGGTTAGTGTGTTCATCTCCAATGATTTCCCTCCCTTATCCTTTTCTTTTATTACTTCTGCTGCCTTTGGGGTTTGATTCCCTCATTCTTGATCTCTATTCTTCTAGTTATTTCTTCATCCTGCACATGCCTTGTACACACGCACCAGGTTAATTTTCATAAAAATGTTGCAGTGACCCTATTTTCTCTTGACTCAGAATCCTTCAGTGGTATATCTTTGTTTAGTCATGAATCCAAATTTCATTTCCTGGAGTTAATTCAGAGTCCTAACCATCTGATTCTACCTCCTCCTTCTGGATACGCACAACCTCCTGAATCCTTTACCTCTCCCATATGCCCAGTAATTATCTATAATCTGAGCATTCTTCTAAGCCTGGCTGTATTTACCTCTTTTTTTACCTTGGAACATTCTCTTAACTTTTCTAGGCTTTCATTTTATATAGATTTATCTGTGATTCTTGTTAGTATTGGCTACTGCTGGACAGAGTATGTGAAATATCATATAAGAAAAGGTGACTCTCCTAACATCCTCCTGAGACTAGGCAGTATGGTATGACTTACCAATCCTTCCATGGGTAATACAGTGTCATTTTCCCAGCATAATCTGGAATGTGTGTGAATTTGATTCTAGACCATGTCCAAAATTCATGTCTTAAAATCATAATTTTAGTACTTTAGTTATGTGGTTATCAGAGCGTAGAGAAAGATCCTATAATTCCTACAAAGTTGACAAATTACAGCATTCAATTAATTGTTTCAATTTAATTTACTATAAATGGTCTTGTCCTTTCCTTCTCCCAGAAATTTTCTTTTCCTCTGTCTCCCAAGGATATTTCATAACAACTTACAATGGTAATTGTGTTAATTTTCATTTGAGTACCATTTCTTAATTTGGGGGACTCAAGTGAAAATTATGACCAATTTTCTAAGATGATTATTGTAAACATGCCATTTACCAGTCATACTCATTTTGTCCAGAACCTTACCAAATTATTGGTTTAGAGCATTTGTGTACCATCTCAGCTATGTGTGTTGCCGTATAATTATGTATGTGTGTCTGCTTATGCTGAGAGACAGTAACTGTATTTTTCAACCTTGATAGCATTTTGTGTTTGTATCCATGATCCATAACTTCCTGGCACCCGCCCTGGTTTGGTTCCTGGGTTGGTGACTGATTGCCAGTCAGGCCTCCTCTGGTGCAGGGCTCTGAGCCCACCTTCCTCCTGCCCCCCCAGAGCCTGGGCCTTCCCACACACCCTCATTTGCTTCATCACTGAGACTTCTGTTTTCTGTGACTCTTGGAGAATGTCTTTCTAATGTGAAATTCCATTGCTACGAAAACTATGAGCTTGGTATTAGAAGTAGTGTTTCAGACAGAACTTTGCAATTCAGGAGAAACTAAAAAATATGCTTTGGACATGTTTCAGGAGAAAGTATAGACATTCTGTTAATTGGGAAACAGTTTGAGTCATAAAACATAATTTACAATTTTATTTTTTCTGTCTTTTCCTGCCTCACTCTTTTGTTTTAAAATATGTGGCACAGCACCTCACGTTGTAAACTGAGCTCTAGTACATTTTATCTTCTTATTTGGGCACTTTGGCTTATGATGTTAAGAGGATGTATTATCCTCAGTCACTTTTTGAATTCTCCTTAATTAGACTAAGTGCTCTGTGAACAGAATGTTTTCTTTCACTGCTTTCTGCTTTCTGAGTCATAAAAGGCTTCCTGTTGTCTTCATTCCTTACTTATCTTCGATCTAGAATATATCTGTAGTTTATTGGAGGGTAAGCCTGGGCTTTACTGAAGATACTGTAGGCTCTTCTTAACAGTCATCATTTAAGCTCATAGTAATAAATTGACAGAGCAGTTCAGCTAAGTTTAAAACAAGTTATAGAACAGTTGCAGCATATTATTTTTTTCATCTTCAAAGACAAGTTTGAAGCCCTTTTGGAGGGTTATTTGTAAACTGTAATTCTGCCAAATTAAACATAGATGGCGCTGTTGCTCTGTGTATTCCACGCAAGTTCCCAGGCCAGTGAGTTCTTTGAATTTTCCAGAATTTTTTTAGGTTCTTCAAACTATAGAGAAAACCAAATCATACCCCCCCTTGGTATTTGCTAACATTTAAAAATATAAACTTCATTTTTAATTGAAATTTTGTATTGTGAGATGACTTTAAAAATTATCCTTATATAAGTATAGACTAATTCTATTTGTGGTAAAAATAAGATGTACTTTATGTTATTGACACGTCCTCATGAAAGATATATTATATAACCAACTTACTGTTAGACTAAGAAACAGTTCTCATCTGAGTGTGTACGTTACAGCCATTTGCATGATTGGTGGACGTCCATATGCACACACTCAGGGAGCAAACCCGGTTATCCTGGCAGCGTTTCCTTGGAGTGATACTGGATTACTAGTCGTCGTACAAGTGATGTGGGTTTTACTGGAGACACTCAGGGTGTGCTTTTACCCACTGTCCGCTCATGTTCAACTGCCGCAGGTTCTCGGTGCTCTGTTGTCCTCTGGGAGAGGGACAGGGGACCGCCCAGGCCTCGGATTTGGATCGGGCTGTTCTGACTGTCAGAGTCTTCCCAGAGTGCCGAGGGGAACAGGCCTGGGGTGTGCATGGGCCAGGACTCTCTCACGGAGTGGCTGAGAGCCAGACACATTGAAAGAACTTCCATTTGGGCCATTACAAATAGAAACGTCTTCTGCCATTATAACTTATTAATGGGAAAGTGGCCATTTAAAATAATTATTTTCTTTGTTTTGAGCCCTTAAGAAAGGAGGCTTTATTTTAATGTTTCTTTCTAAAAGCCTCAAAAATTCTTTTCATCTTCAAGTATAGTGGTTATATTCAGACTAAATTTAATTTAAAATAAGAAAATTATAACAAAGTATAAATATTTTAGCATTCAGCAAAATAAAATGATGAAACAAGGAGAGTATCCTAAGGTTTGTGTTTATTGGCGCCAAGAAAAGCAGAGCGTTAGATCTTTTATAGGTGGTGGTACAGACTGTCCTGTGTGGGAGTTTGCCCCCATCCCCTCCCCTGTGTCCTTGAGTCCCATGGAGCCCTTGTTGGCTTTCGCTCCTGGAATCCCTCAGACAGCTTCCGCCGCAAGACGCTGTGTTGTAACCCTAGGGGGACGAGAGTTACTCGCCATTCTTTCCTTCAAGATTCATTAATATTGCAAATTTTTAATGAGGACATACTATGTGCATGGCACTGTAATATATGGCACTGTTTTTAGCTTTTTATTCCTGCTATTCCTATGTTTAAAGCACACTATGGCTCCTTTTTCATGTTTTCAAACTCTCCATTCCCAAAAGGTAGTCATCAGTGGCCACTGAGGCTTTTGAAAGACTCTATCTCAGACTCTGAAAGTCACTTCAGAAGAGCAGCTCCATACAGTCCAAATGGGCTTTGGGATGAAAGTTTTGCTTCGAGATGAGTGCTTGAGAATGAATGGCCTTTATTGGAATGTATGAGTTTTTTAATATGGATATGTTACAGTATAACCCTTATAGCTTATTTTATTATATTTATTTTGATGGTGTAGCATGATTCATATATGCCTCATTTTTTAGGGTTCAGAATAAGTTGGAGGTGCTGAATTACACAACCGTTCCTATCTTTCTCCCAGAAGTCACGATTGGAGCTCACCAGAGTGACCGCGTCTTCCATAAATTCAAGGAGGTAAGGCCTCGGAAGCAGAGAGCTGACCCTCTGCTGCATCTCAGACAACTGGCAACAAAGTCATTTCTCTGAAAAATGGTTTCTGTGGTTTCTTATTTGTTTATTTTAGTGAAAGAGCTCCCTTTACATTGAAATAATTAGCCTCGTTTTCCTTTATCATTGTATATTAAGCTGACGCATTCTGCATATGGCAGGCCACGTGCAGTGAGCTGTTCTGGGCAGCGTGTGTGGCAGGCACTGTTCTTTGTCAGCTTGTTATCTTGATACAGAAACTTTCTCTGTTCTTGAGTTTTTATTTACATTCCTTTAATGTCAAATTTTACTTCTGGTGTTGCCTTACTCTTCATGGGACATCCATCCATAAATGATGAAGATGTGTTTCTGCAGAAGGTCCTCGGAGTGGGTGGGAGAGTGTAGGGCAGGTGAGCAGAGCAGGGGCAGGAACGAGGGCAGAGGTTGGGAGGGTCAGACTGTTCTATTGATCTTCTTATCTGAATCCCATACCTTTTTAGTGAATTATTTGTTTTCAGAATGGTTTGGAGAATCATTTCAGGCGAGAGTCCATGAATGTAGAGAACATTATAAGTTCTGTTTTGGAACCTAGCAGGTGAGTGAGAGCCTTCTCTGAGAATCATGGTGTCAGTGGAAGAGTAAGAATGTGGTCCATTTCCACATCAGCTGTGGTTGGGTTTGTTATTGGCAAATTTGTGAAATGATTGTATTTAAATCAGGACTTCAAGCTAAGCAGACAGCATGTAGATAAGTTGAAATCTTAGTTAAATATTTTTGCATTCCTGTAATCCTCTAGTTTGATGCTTACAGGTTGCTTGACGTGCCGATTGGATGTCTGAGTATATCCCACGGCTTACTTTCGTACTTGAGATACTTGGCATCTTCTTTTAAGTGAGTTTTTTTGGTTGATTTGAAAGTGATTTTATTCGATGTAGAAATTTCGGGAAATACATAAAACCGTAAAGATATCACTCAGAGGTATCTACAGTTAATGTTTTTGCATGTTTCTTTCTTCCTGCCCTTGTACCTGTGTGAGTGCCTATGTATTTTCACTTTCTCTTTTTGAGTGGAGTTGTGAGGGTCTGTGGCTTTGTCGGTGTCTGGGGGCTGAGCTGGCTCCTCAGTGCACCAGCTGCCTTGTTTGCTGCTTTGCATAGACCAGAAAACCCGCACCTGGTGATTGTTCCTGCTCTGCATTTAACAACCCACTGGGTCCTGTTGACCATCTTAGCAGTGACTTTATTTTCTTCTGTGTCATCACAGCTGCTGCCCTTGTGTAGGCCACCATCATCTTACTTAAATGTGTACTGCAGCTACCTCCCTGGTCTCTCTGTGTCCAGTTTCTCCCTCAAGCCCCTCTTCCATAAGGCAGAAGCAACCATGCTTAAATGCAAAACTGATAGTGTCGGTCCTGTGCCTAACACCCTTCCATGGCTCCTCTTACCTCAGATCGAGTCCAGAGCCTGTAATATGGGAGCTCTGGCTCCTGCGTAGCCTCTGCCCTTGTCACATCCCACAGAGCATCCGTGGTCTCACTGGTGTTGTCTGTTAGTGCATACCACTGATGCTGGGGGCTCTAAGGTGGTGCAGAGACAGAGAATTTAAAAACAAATAGTTAAATAAATTGCCTAGTAAGAAAGTTTTACCCTTTTAAATTTTTAAAAAATTCTTTATGTCAGAATATTGATTTACTGATGTCTTGAACATTTCTGTTACTCTTGATGATCTCACTTTTAAACAAGGAAACAGCGTGCGGCAAGTTCAGAGGTTTTGCAGTCACTGGCCTCTGGGTAGAATTTAGTAATGTAGCCTTGTTTTTGCAGTTTTTTTCTTATGCTCCATTGTTTACAGTGAATGGTACTGGCTCTCCAGTTGTACCACTGATATAAATTTTTCTTTTAAAATAAACTTATGTAAAAAAAGGTATTTCATCTTTTTAATGTAAGCAGTAGTACGTTTGGTACACAGCTGTGACCCAAGTGGGGAAGTGACTTACTAGGTGCCAGACCTGTCCTGGGCACTGGGGAGGGAGCAGTGCGTAGGGTGGGCAAGAATCCTTGCCTGATGGAGCTTACATCCCAGTGTAAGGAAACGGAAAAGAAACAGGGAATGTATTAAATGATGGTGACAAGTGCTGTGGAGACAATTAAATTCCCAGAAGAGGGCAGGCAGAGCCCTTGTGAGGCAAGGGAGTTGAGTTTAAAAAGGTGAGGTGAGGCTAGTGGGGATGTGGGGGGAAGAGACCCACATGCAATGGTGAGGCTCAGCATTTCTAGCATATTCAAGACTCAGGAAGGAGGCCACTGTGGGTGGAGCAGAGGGAGGGAGGGGGAGGAGACAGGTAGTAAGAGAGAGATCGTGAAGGCTTCCTGGCTTGTCCTCTGCGGGACGTGGGGAAGAAGGATCTGTGTGACATACTTTCTAATGGGAATGTTCTGGTTTCTACTTTGAGAATAGATTGAATAGGGGCATGGGTGGGAGCAGGGAGATTAGTTAGTGGGCTATTAAAGGAATACTGGTTGAGAGGTAATATTAGCTTGGACCAGGGTGGTCATCCTAGAAGTTTCAAAAAGTGGTCGAATTGTGGATAGAACCCACAGAATCTGTTGAAACTTTGTATTGGGAAGTGAGAGAAAGAAGTAAGCTTATTGCTAGGTTTTTGGCCTCAGAAACTAGAACTCGGGAGTTGGAATTGGCAGATAGTGGGAAGACACAAGAGGTACGGGTTCCAGGGAAAGATCAAGAATTTGTTGTTGGACATGACAAGTTTGAGATGCTTATTATAGCCAAGAGGAGATGTTAAGTAGGTAATTATATATGATGAGTTTGGAGTCTGGCAGTAAGTGAGGGTTGTGAATAGTAAATTTAGGGGTTGTCAGCATGTGGTTGACATTTGAAGTCATGGTACTGGTTGAGATCACTGTGGCAGTATAGACAGAGAAAGGAAGAATGTAAGGTTAAGAAGTAGTGGAGACAGCAGAGAACCAAAGTCACTGTCTTCAAGGAGCTTATATTTTAGTATATCTTTATTTCATTTAATATCTTTATAAGTGGGGGACTGTTAATGTCAATTGGAGTTTAATGTCTTCTGTTAATATATGTCTGTTTATAAAGTGTAGACTTGTATTTATTTCTATCTGTATAAACAGGAAAGAGTGAGCCAGATTACCCCCAGAAAAGTAGAAATGGTACCCAGAACAGGTGGGACTCTCGTACCCAGAACAGATGGGACTGTCCTGGTCTTGCTGGAGGTCGGGAGCGGGGAGAGCCCTTGTTGAGTGTGGGTGGGCGTGTGAGCAACACAGAGAAGGCCCAGCAGCGTGCTCCTAAACGATGCAGTAGCCCGACTCCCCAAGAGGAGAGCCCACTGCACAGGTGTTGTCATCTTGTAGTGGGTGAGATCTCAGGTGACATTGTCACTGCTGTAATGACACACTGCCAGAGTAAATAAACTTCCTGTTAACCAACTGCCCAGGCCGTCATAATGACAATTAGGGGAAACACAGCAAGTTTCAAAAATTAAGTCTACATGGAAAATGGACATTTAAAAGTCCCATCATATAAAAAGAAAAAGAAAAATACATGCTGTCAAATAATGACAGTTTTCTTTCTTTCTAGTCTGTGTACCCCCTTTTTTTTCTTGCCTTAAGACACTGGGTGGATCTCTAGTTCATGAGTGAGTAGACGTTGTAACAGTGTCATCCTGGTCTTGTTTCTGATCTCATGGAGAATGTCTTCAGTAATTCACCAGTGAGTGTTATGTTTGCTATTGGTTAATTTTAGATACTCTTTTTCAGATTAGGGATGATCCATTTTATTAGTGGTTTCTAGGGAATTTCTGTCATGTGTGATTATTGAGTTTTATCACAGGTTGTCTGCCATGGGTGATTTTTTCCCTTTTTCTGTTAATGTGGTCAGTTATACTGATTGATTTTCTAATGTGAGACCAACCTTGATTTCCTGGAATAAATCCTACTTGGGTGTATATTATCCTCTTCCTATGTAGCTGAACCTAATTCACATATTTATTCAGGATTTTTGTATCTATATTCCTGAGAGACTGGATGGCAATTTTCCTTTCTTGTAGTATGTTGATCAGGATCATGCTGACATCAAACACTAAATTGAGATTGGACCTTCATTTTTTATTCTCTGGAAGAGTTTGCATAAGATGGGCATTACTTCTTCCTTCATCGTTGAGAAGGATTGACTGGTGGAGTTCTGTTAGAATATTTAAATTAGAGATTCAGTTTCTCTAATAGATACCGAATATTCAATATTCTATTCCTTCTCAGGTTAGATGTTGAAAGTTGTATTTGTCAAGGAATTTGCCCCCATTTCATTTAAATTTTCTACTTTCTTGGCATGAAGTTGTTTCAAATGTCCTTTTTTATGTTTTTAGCTCGGTCAGATCTGAGGATGACCACTCTTCCCTTCTTCATCCTGTTGCTGGTCCTTGGAGTCTCCCTTCTTTCCTCTTGGAAGGAGGTTATCATTCAAGAAACCAACTCCTTGTTTGGTATTTTCTGTTATACATTCTGATTCACTGACTGTTACTCTTTATTTTTTCTCTTTCATTTGCTCTTTTTCTAACTTCTCAAGATGAATAAGTGGATCATTGATTTTCAGCCTGTCGTGCTTTCAAATGTATGCATTTAAAGCTAGATACATTGCCCTCCAAATTTGGCTTCACTTGATCTCATAATTCTTGATGTTATGTTTTCATTATCATTCAATTCAAAATATTTTCTAATTTTAATCTGATTTCTTTTTGGACCAATATGCTAATTTGAATTATATTGTATAATTTAAAAGCAGTTGGAATCTTTTAGTTATCTTTTTGTTATAGATTCCTGGCTTAATTCTACTCTAGTCAGAAACATACTTCTTATGATTTCAGTCCACAGAAATTGATTGAGACTTACTTTTTGGCTCAGCATTTGGTCAATTTTGGTAATATTTCGTGGTCCTCAAGGAGAATGCTTGTT